GTTCGGATAGCTGCGAGCTACAGTGATAATACGTTATTTTTGTATTATGTGTTGCTGCATTGTATTGCCAACAACAACAACAACAATCAACCAATAACAACAGCAACAAAATAAAAGACGTGCAACATCAAACTGAAGTGTGCATTTCAAAGAAAATCATTACGAAGACTGAAGTGGCGGTGCATCTTACAACTTCATTGCCAAAAAAAAAAAAAAAAAATCGGACAAAAGGAATACTTTTGAAGAAACTTATAATCTTCAGAAAAAAAGAACCCATTCTATAAGCAAAATTTTTTTTTATTTTATTTAAGCAATAAATGCTACGGTACGTATACTTAACTTCAGTCTTTTGAGAAATTCTTTAGGCTACGAAGATTTGTTAGCTTGAAAAATGCTCTGATAGTGTTTAGTGAACGAATTTAGAGATGCAGTTCGATTTTCAATGGAAAAATGATTTGCAAATTGACTTTAACGAATTGCTTAACAATGAGAACTGCATTAGTAGTAACAAAAATTACAACAACAACACCAACAACAATAATGCAACAAGAGAAGTTGCCATAAAAATTCTTGCCGCAAATGTTAGAAAAGGAATTTAATCCATAGGACGACAATTGGAAGTTCAACGTAGTTTGCATTTTTGGACACGATATCAATTCTGACTTACCTCATAGTTAACTTGACAAACTTCTAGCCCTATATCTGGGATAGTGAGTACTGCTGTGATAGTTAAAAGGTCGTCAAAAAAGTCGTCAAAAAGTCCTTAAGATCTTGTGATATATTGGTAAAAATATTTTCAACTATTGATAATAAAGATTTTGGAGTTATAGTTAATATATTTTTAATAACGTAAATCTTACCAATGAGAGAAATTTTTTAAATTATTGGAAATCATCAAGGAGGCTCTCTTTGATGAGAGCCTTTCGCACCTTTTTTGTGTTATATTGGAAGAAACTTATTTAATCTAATGATTATATGGATTTAAGGCTTAATCAACGACAGGTATAAATATCTTTACAACGAAATTAAAGTTAATAAAGTCATTAAGTCAATAGAAAAACTTCTTTAAATAGTAGTGTTCACGACATCATCTTGATGATGACTACTTGGGGTTAGTCTAATTAAATATAATATTTAAAGTGAGTTATGAAGGAAGTTGTACTGATTTATATTTCTCTAGAGTTCGGTAGAAAAGTACTTACCGCTATTTTCTTCAACATACCCAATAATAAATAGAAGACACTTAAGTCATGTACCTGGGCACAATAGACCCGATGGTCGCAGTGCTACATCCCCTAACAATAATAAGTCATGTACCTTCTTGGTAGCTCTGGGCTTGAAATAACAAGACAAAATTTTGGGAGTTTATAGTTGTTGTAGCTTTTGAAACAAAGTAAGCTCCTCTACAAAGTTAGCACATGGCTGGACAATAAAATTACGAAGGCGAAAAACTTTTCTGAACTATAAACGGATTAACACGTGGAGCTGGAAATCAAGGAAGTATGAGAGTGAAAGAGATTGTAAAGGAACGAGAATGGATTAAGAATATGTGGGATTTTAATTTAAGTTAACCTGGAATAAGGTGGTGAAACCTAAACTAATTAAAGTAATGAAACCAAAGTGTGAGCTCTCACTGCCAGGCTTATTGCAGCTCCCTCTCTCTGAGTACTGGTTAAGAGAATAAAGTGTTAGTGAGAATGGGATTGTATAAGAGATTGGCAAGTAGATCGCTCTCATATACAAATATTTGCATTACCCACCTACTATATTATTGAAATCTTCTTTGAAAAAGTTGCTTTCCCTATTAAAGCAACCCTCCCGACTAAATTCTTCTTAAATGTTTCGGTCTGATAGTGAAGGTGCAGTCTCAATCCCTGCTAAAATCCCCTTCCAACTGCTTTGAAATACAAATGCGTACGCCGAGCAAATTTAATTGAAATTCAAACGTTAGATTGGAAAAATAAATTAAAATTTGTTTATTTGATTTTTATAAATCAAAAGTTATTTCTCGACTACGACTTCAATTGACTTTATTAGCAGTTTTTATGGCAAATTGTCAGTTTTATTTGTCATTACAAGTGATTGACGCGTCTTGTCAGTAAATTTGTGTTGAAGTAAAATTTCACACGCAATTTGATGAGCGCGAAGACGTCAAGAAACCATGGCGTACGGCGTCGACGACTACTAAACGACATCGAGCAAGTGGCGTTGTTGGACCAACCCATTTTCAAGGCTGTCTTGCAAATAAAATGGCCAAAAGGTGACCTTCTGCTGGCTTAACTGCAAAACGTCTCACTAATAAAGAATTCAGTGGAGTTATTTTAATGGCGCTATTTACATATGCAATCACTTCAACAACAAAAAATAACAACAAATGATTGTTTATCAAAAAAGTTTGTAAAATATAGAAAATAAATAATTTAAAACAAAAAAAAATACAAAAATGAAAGAAAAACCCTAAAATGATTTGCAAGAAATTAGCTAAGCGAAAAGCGCAAGAAACTAATTTTGCATACGAAATCAGTCGATGCAGTTTGCATTTTTGATTTGGGTTGACTCCGCTTGAGTTTTGGAGTCTTCTCGGGCATTTCGCAGGGAACAGCCAGAGTACCAAAGCTCAACGTCGAAGTTCCAAACTGAAAGCATTAAAACGACAAAAGGCGAAACTCATAAATGTTTTCGAAATCAATTAACGAAACAATAAACGTTCACATTGTAGCCAGACACGTATTTCATTTAAGTATCTAGAATATTAAAATGGGATCAAAATTGAAAGAAACTACGGACCGAGGTTGCGGCCAAGTAAAATCGAGTCAAATCGAGTCAAATCGAGTAAAAAAGCGAAATGAAAACAGTTTTTAAAATCCAAAACAAAAGTGACAGAAACAAAACTGAATTGCTTTGTGACAAATAAAAACGTTGATAGAATTTTTTACACAAAATACTATTTTTATTTTTTTTTATTTTTTTTTTAGCAACAAAAACATTGTTTACAATGAAAGTGTGACTGTCTGTCCGTCTGTCTGACAGACAGACTTTATCAAAGCTACAATGTTTATTGGTGTACGAAGGCGAACAGTGCAAAACTGCTTAAAATGCTGCAAGGCACCGAAAGCATCGAAGGCAAATGCACATTAAAGTTGCTTTTATAGAATTTTATTTAACAACAAATAAACAACAATAAAATAAAATAAATTAAAAATGAAGCAAAAAAAAATAAGCAACAAAATAAAAATTATTTAAAAAAAATTTGTTGAAAAAAGTGCAGTTTAAATCCTGATTTAAAGTGAGTTAAAAACGCAACTTCAACAAGCTGAGCTTCAAAGGTGCGAATGAGCATTTAAGTTAAGCAAAAAACATGGAACTGAGTGGACTGAATGGACTGAATGGATTGAATGGATTGCAAAAAAAAACAAACAACAACAGAAACTAAATACCTGCAATGAGGCAGGCAAGGAGTTAAGGCGATTATTTATGAACTCGCACCACACCAAGTGCGGCAAGTGTCAACTCTGGCTTGCTGCACTTGCAACAGCACAAATCCACCACAAAAAAAAAAAACAAAACAAAAATATACAAAATTCAACTTCA